TGCATGCCCCTGGCCAACCATCTCCCTCCCCCCCCCCCCAGGTCCAGTTCAGCCCTAGAGCTCACCTCCAGGACCTGGAGCCTGCCCTCCTGCTCAGAATGACTCACCATTATTTCCAGCTCAAATGAGAAGACGTGATGGGGAGTTGAGCTGCCTGTTTGTGCATCTAGGATTCCTGCGGCATCTAATCCATCTGAGCTGCTCTACAAGGAAGAGCGCCTCGGGCTCCTGCCTGGCCAGGTAAATCAATCAATCACTTAATAAGAGACATGTAGAGTCACTGAGGGTGGGAAGGAAGATCCTGGCCTAAAAGCCCCTACCATGAGTATCTTCCATGGTGCAAGTATTGGCAGGCATTAGTACAGTGCCTGGGAGGGGTTCCCTTCTCACCTCCTCCTATAGAGCTGTGCTTCAGGATGCTCTGTGGCACACGGGAGCTGTCTCAGCCACCTAACCCCAGTGCAGGGCATTCCATAACTTCCTTGAAAGATAGTTCCCTGCTCCCCACTGATCCCCAGACAAGTTACAAGGTGAAAGTAAATTCTGCCTTCAGAGGTGGTGGTGGTGAGAATGGTCATGTTCCTGAACTCTTGGCTGAGAAATGGGAGACAGCAAGCCACAGCCCATGTCAGGCTGCCAGTGAGGGGTGGTCTCATGTCCTTAACTGCCTCTGTCTTTCAGCCAAGTGAAGCTGTGTCTCCAGCTCTCAATGGGCTCACGGGGCTCTCCTGCAGGAGCACAGGCCAATGCTTCTGTGTTTCCTGGGGCCCCGCATTCAGCACCCTGAGCCCCCTGCAGCAGGCAGCTGAAAGGCATAGAGTAAAGTGCTCTTCTCAGTCCCAATTATGACAGTGGCCACCGGAGACCCAGTGGATGAGGCTGCCGCCCTCCCTGGGCACCCACAGGACACCTATGACCCAGAGGCAGACCACGAGTGTTGTGAGAGGGTGGTGATCAACATCTCAGGCCTGCGGTTTGAGACTCAGCTAAAGACCTTAGCCCAGTTTCCAGAGACCCTCTTAGGGGACCCTAAGAAGCGGATGAGGTACTTTGATCCCCTCCGAAATGAGTACTTTTTTGATCGCAACCGCCCTAGCTTTGATGCCATTTTGTACTACTATCAGTCTGGGGGCAGGTTGAGGCGACCCGTGAATGTGCCCTTAGATATATTCTCTGAAGAAATCCGGTTTTATGAGCTAGGGGAAGAAGCAATGGAGATGTTCCGGGAAGATGAAGGCTACATCAAGGAAGAAGAACGTCCTCTGCCTGAAAATGAGTTTCAGAGACAGGTGTGGCTTCTCTTTGAATACCCTGAGAGCTCAGGGCCTGCCAGGATTATCGCCATTGTATCTGTCATGGTCATTCTGATCTCAATCGTCAGCTTCTGTCTGGAAACCTTGCCCATCTTCCGGGATGAGAATGAGGACATGCATGGTGGTGGGGTAACCTTCCACACCTACTCCAACAGTACCATCGGGTACCAGCAGTCCACCTCCTTCACTGACCCTTTCTTCATTGTAGAGACTCTCTGCATCATCTGGTTCTCTTTTGAGTTTCTGGTGAGGTTCTTTGCCTGTCCCAGCAAAGCTGGCTTCTTCACCAACATCATGAACATCATTGACATTGTAGCCATCATCCCTTACTTTATCACCCTGGGAACAGAGTTAGCTGAGAAGCCAGAGGACGCCCAGCAAGGCCAGCAGGCCATGTCACTGGCCATTCTCCGTGTCATCCGATTGGTAAGAGTCTTTAGGATTTTCAAGTTGTCCAGACACTCCAAAGGTCTGCAGATTCTAGGTCAAACCCTCAAAGCCAGCATGAGGGAATTGGGCCTCCTGATATTCTTCCTCTTCATTGGGGTCATCCTCTTCTCTAGTGCTGTCTATTTTGCAGAAGCCGATGAGCGAGATTCCCAGTTCCCCAGCATCCCGGATGCCTTCTGGTGGGCAGTCGTCTCCATGACAACTGTAGGCTATGGAGACATGGTTCCAACTACCATTGGGGGAAAGATAGTGGGTTCCCTGTGTGCAATTGCAGGTGTGTTAACCATTGCCTTACCCGTCCCTGTCATAGTCTCTAATTTCAACTACTTCTACCATCGGGAGACAGAGGGAGAGGAACAGGCCCAGTATTTACAAGTGACAAGCTGTCCAAAGATCCCATCCTCCCCTGACCTAAAGAAAAGTAGAAGTGCCTCTACCATAAGTAAGTCTGATTACATGGAGATCCAGGAGGGAGTAAACAACAGTAATGAGGACTTTAGAGAGGAGAACTTAAAAACAGCCAACTGCACCTTGGCTAACACAAACTATGTGAATATTACCAAAATGTTAACTGATGTCTGATTGAACCCTACTAACATACTCACAGCTCAACAAGACTAATGCAGATGTTGCATAATAGCCTGCATTGTAGTCAGTGTTCTACAGTGTGCATCTGGTTCTGCATGGGAAGCAATAGTCGTGCAAGTGACTTTTGATCTTTTGACTTTCGATTTAGAGCACAGAGTATCTATCATGATTTTCATACAAATCTTCATCACCAACTTAGAGGTTTCCAAAGATGAGAGTCACCTATGGAGCCAGGATTTCAGAAAGACACACTGAGGACACTTCATATTCCCTACACAACCCCCATATTAGTACCATCCTCCCTTCCTAACTAAAGGCAAACACACCTGAGAGATGCATTCCCCTCTGCCCATCCTACCACCCCACTTCATCCTACCTGCTCCATCACAGAGGAACACCATCGAGACTTATCTTGAAAGCCCTGGTAACTATTCCAAAGGTCATTCCCATTTCTGCATTGAAAAGAACACACAGTCCTGTGTATTGGAATTCCTTTCTGTGTCACAGGCAGGAGTTTGTGAATTGCAGTTGCTAAGTAGATGCTCTGGAGGCTTATGTTTCATAACGGAAAATGCTGCATGCTGCTTTTTCTCTGCAGTGTCGATGAGGGAAGCCCAGGGGAGGGACAGCTAGTATGACCAAATATGCGTTGTCAAGTTTCACGTTTGTTCCCTCAGGCCTACAGGGAGAAGCTACCTATCTATTCCAGGGATTTCTCAGCTTCAGAATTCATTTTTGCAGGCTTGAGGGTCACGGAACGTGTTTGATTTCTTCATTTACACTGAAGTGTGCAGACATCTGCTTTCTGAGTAATGTGGCCTGGCTACACTGACACTGCAGTGAAATATACCAGTGATGCAATAGAGCTGCATGGGTGTTCATTGCATGAATCTCAATATTTAAAACACAGGAGATAGCCTATTTTGGGTGGGCTCTTATTATCAAACTATGTGAATATTACCAAAATGTTAACTGATGTCTGATTGAACCCTATTAACGTACTCACAGCTCAACAGGACTAATGCAGATGTTGCATAACAGCCTGCATTGTATTCATACTTAGAGTATTCATATTTAGAGTACTAATAGCCTTGGGATGGTATTGAACTAGGGTTTCTTCCCATCAGAAGGCAAAAGCCATCCATCACGGGAAAAAATAGACTATCTGGAATGGGGAACCAAAACTTCTGGCCCTCTAGCCTACCTATGCCTGTTCTTTCACTGGGAGCACAGACCCTGCCACATCAGGAGAATGAACAGAGTCTAAACACTAACATTACTGCACCTTAGGAATTAAACTAGTCATGGACATGACTACACAGCAGACCAGGGCATTGGTTCTGAGGGCAGGCAGGTCTGTGGGTCCAATGTATATAAATATATATCAACTATCTTTCTCTTGTGTGTTACTCTACCTAACTATAGAAAATTGCATTTGAACATTGTATAAGCTTATGCAATATTTTGACACAGGGCAATTTATGCATGTGTTTGACTATGTGCACTAAAGCGTGTGTGTGTATATATATGTAGGTATATATACACACACACATAATTGTGTGTATATGTACATTATACACACACACACATATGTATATTCATTCTCTGGAGTTCAGGTTCAAGAGCAAATCCATTGCTTAGTAGGTTAGTTGTACAACAAGCCCAATAGGTTCATTGATAAATCCACTGGGCCTGGGTTTGCTGCCATTGCCTCAGACATACTCCAGTGTTCATAGATTCCTAGACGTTAGAATTGTCTTTCTGCCCTCCATGTGCTGCAGCTTCAGTTTCCCATGGCTGAAGCTTGTCTTACTGAGTGCACAAGGGCCCTACAGCCCTCACAGCTCCAGCTAACCTGGGCCAGGTCCACCCCAGGCCTCCTCTACAGTCCATCCCATTAATCATCTCCATTCTTATCCTCTCCCCTGTTTGATTCTCAACATCATTTGACTCTGCATCCATCACTTTCATGAACCTGTCCCTAGAATGGAGCCTCTGCTTTGAAACCAAGGATTAAAACTCCCTGGGACCAAATTCTACTGTTATAGACTTAAAGAAAGCCTCCTCTAGGTGTGGAAATTTCCAAATTCTTGGACCAATGGATGGATTCCCTAGGTGACCCAAACATCATTTTGATTGCTAGACTCAAATTCTCTTCCCATCACACTGGTAATAAGAGTCCACCCCAAGATCAGGTAAAGTATGAATGAGCACTGCATGGCCTAGAAGTAGAAAGTGGGTTGGCCCCAGGGAGAGTTGCAAGGGACAGCTTTTGCCTCATCACACTGGGTTTCTTTGCTTTTTGACACAGAGGTTTAAAATCCTCAAACATAATGAATCATGGTCACGTTGCTCAGTGTTGGTTCCAATCAAGGTCTCACTATTGGCTAGCTGTCATCTTCAGTAATCTTTTGGGGAGGGGGCACCAGCTCAGGGTGCTAGCCCATTGTGCACATTAGTTCCTGGTCACCCATATCCCCAGGTGTTTGCAGGGCATGCCATGCCAGGCACAAAGTCTCTGTTTCTCTCCCCTTTTGTGGTGCTGAATTTCATGACCTGGGGCGGAGGAACACAGACTTACTTACAGAGGATAGAAGGTTAAAACAACCACATGTAAGGTCTAGGTGGGAAGAAGTTGTCTATTCACCGAATCCTTGGCCTGAGAACTATAAAATGTCCATATCCACGCATGTACATTCGTCATAAAATAAATGACACATCATTGTCACACACAACTACAAAGCAGGCAGCACACATGCAAAATACACACAGGCCAAATTAATGTGAAAATCAAACACATAAGAGAAATGGTTTTACCTGTAGACAAAACATACTCTGCCCAACATAGAATATGTATACCAACACAGCACATCTACAAGAGACCTACTTACCCCATGTGTAAACAGACAGGATGCAACTCAGATGCAAGATACACAAGACCAACATGGGAGCCATGAATACACATGCAAAATACATAAAGGATGCTGTCGTTGCTTCTGCACACAAAGACACAGAAACTCATAAATACACAGCGTACGTAGTCATACTGGACACACAAAACACAGTACCCATGCCTAAGAATGCACAAAACACAGTACCCATGCCTAAGAATGCACACAAAGTATGGACATTTAACATTGTTAATCATGCCTTTGCTTCCAAATCTATAAATTAGTGGGGAAAAGCAAAAGATCAGTTTTAATCACTTTTTCTTGTCCATATCAGTATTCCTTAGTACTCACTAAGGAGTCTCCCTCTAGTCTCATCTCTCACCTCCAGATTTCATTCCTGAAACATAACCCATGAGATTTTGAACAGAAAGCACAGGAATCTCCTGGGTTCTTCGCCTTCCTCCAAACAGCACTCAGGGTGCAGGGTGTGAAAGGTCCTGAGAGAGCTAGCAACCTAATATAGGCTCCCTTGCCATGACTTACAGAACAAATCCATACATATGACCCACCTCCCCTCTCAGCACCTGGGATCTCCAGATTTATCCCCATTCTCCTGAAGCAGAGCTGGCTCAAGAAACTGCTGGATTCTGGGCCCTGAATCAGGGTAAAGATGCCTCAATCTTTGGATTGGGGGAGCCCACAAATCTTATAACCCCTCTATTCACAGCAGCTTTATGTCAGGAGACAGGTCAGAAAATCAATTCTCTGTGTAGACTTAGCTCTTAAAATGTGCCACTGTTTCTTGCTCCTGGCACTTCACTTTATTTTGGGCCCATGTCCAATGAGGTCAACTCCTGATTCTCTTCTGAAGGTGTTCAATCTAGGCAGGTCCCCCTACTTCCCCACCAGGGCTCTCAGGGAAGCCCAGCCTCCCATTCCATTGTTGTACCTTGGCAACATGGCAAACCAATTAAGCTTAAGTAAAATGTGATGAAGGACATTAACCTAAGGCCAAAGGAGCAGATAACAATTTTCAGAGGGCCTGATTTATATCCTATATTCGAATACCAGATTTGAATGCTTTGTAAGATTATCCACTACATGGAATCCTTGGAGCTGGTTCATCCTGATAATAGGATCAGTTGGGTCCATGAGTGCATATTGGGAAAGGTTTCATCTAAAATGGAAGTTAGACGTTGGATCAGGCCTTGGATCAGGATTTGTGGTCTTTAATGCAGCTGTCCCAGGTATCTCACCCTTCCCTACCATCCTCCACAGAGGCAACAGTGGTAGAGAACAAGCGAGTGGCATAAACTTGGGCTCTTAGTACAACACGCTGGGATTTGTATTTCCAAACCAAGATAACAATTTTCCCCCCTAGCTTCATCAGATGCCTCTGTAACCTCGGACTTTTTTTCAAAGGTGGAGTTTCTGGGAGGATGGAGGAAAAAGAGGTCCAGGAAAGGTGAAGTTGTCAGGAAGAGAAAGTAACTGAGCTATTAAACTTCCTGAGTCAATTTTTCAGGAGCCAATTTTTCAGTGATTAAATCTAATTCAGGAGCCCGAATTTAATTTAGTTAAAACTCTGCATCTTTCTGGAACTTCAGTGATGTATCTGTATCTAGTCTTGGTGAGAAAAGTAGTGTCTTTGAATAGCCTTAGGCTGGAGGTTCAGTACTTCCCACAATAGCAGAAAAGGAGTCAAGGCTGACTTTCTGCAAAAGAAACTATAGGAGATGTACAGACTGCATGTGAAGGTGGCACTACTATCCTCAGGCTGTGAGGGGAGCACAGTGCTCCAACTTGCTTATCCAGAAGGGAGGATGATGGTGCTGAGTCTATTCCCCAGAGCTCACCTATAGCCCCATCATAGCAACCCGCATGTGGGGGATGGAATGGCTACCTGACCTGAGACAGCTGCAACATCCAGTGTGCTCCTGGTTACACAATGGAGGTTCCTCTCTAGCCCTGACAAAGTATTCATTGCCACATTCAAACTCATAACCTTGACCTCATTAACATCAATAGCCACCAGAGTCAACCAGCAGGAGGTGTGTGCTGGGAGCTGTCCCCAGTAGCTGCTGTGATCATCTATACCCTCAGACTTGGCCCTGGCTGAGATCAGCCTTCCCCCACCCCTCCCATTGAGCAGCAAGCAGGGATAGGCGGGATCAAGGATCCCTCACAAGCTCCTCAAACTAATGTAGCCCGCTTTGCCCTTCTTTCTGCTCCTCTTCCCCCCAAAGCTCAGATCCATCCCTCATAGTTTGTGTCTAATGTTTTTAAAGAGGAAAAGTGCAATAAAAGCAATAGTGACTGTTTTCTTTAGCAATAGCTCTTTCAAAATCTTGCTCTCAGGACTGAAAAGTAGTAGATAGTCCATGGATTATCAGATAATGCCCCTGACCTCTGGGCATTCATTCACAGTCTCTGAAGTTCTTCTTCCCACATGTTTACATGACTCCTGTCTGCTGAGGTCTGGCCTTCTGGAATGTTCAGATGAGGTAGAGTGTACACATAAGAAAGGCCTATGAGAAGGCACTCTTCGTCATTCTGCTTCTTTGCTGTGTGCACCTCTATCTGTGTCTCTGTCCTCCTCTCCCTCTGCTTCTCCTTCCTGCCGATCCTCAGACAGCACCCTAGAAACAAACCTCTAGATACTGAAACCTTCAGTTTCAGTGACCTCATGCTAGCCCATCTTGTCAACTTCGTCCATCTGGCGGGGTGAAATTGAAGTCTACACTAAAGTGCTTACCAATAGATAAGAAGAAAGCATCCTGAGCCATTACAGAAGAACCTTTCCATGCACAAAAAGCCATTACTTGATTCTTTTGCAGCCCTCCCCAGGGAGATGGATATGAAGGAATGTGGCCCTAAGGTATGCACCTGGGATCAGTAGCCTGAACAGATTTGGGAATTGCCCTCTGACTCTCCTTTACAATAGGCTGACTTGCTCTCCCATATAGACTCTGACAGAGCTTCAGAGCAAAGCCAGGCTTATGGTTTTGGGTAGAGGTCTGCAGGTACAGAAGTGTGGGTGGTCAGGGGATGCCATATTTGTGAAATTATGATCCCACCTCCCGCTGTGGTGTGCGGCTGCACAAATATTTTATGTATCAGCCAGGAGTTTGGAAGAGGCCCCTTTCCTGAAACATCTATGAGGTGAACTATTAATATTCAGTCTAGAATCAGGGAAGGCTGGCGAACCCAGGACCCTTTCCATTCCTTTTCAATCTACCTTGTTCAACACACACTTGCACAGCCAAACCTCAGTTAACCCTTGGGAAATCTCAAGAAAGGGAATGTTCTGTTTGCTTTGCAATCCTGGTTATTTGAGGAGGAATAGGAAAACACGTGTTTCAGCCTTTGTTATTAAAAAGTAGTATTTCCTAAGTAGTTTAGTATAAACTCTCCTGCCTTAGTAAGTAGAACGTTTGGAGAAGACAGAAGATCTTGCATGACTCAGGGTGAACCTTCTCAGACCTCAGTTCATGATGTTCAGAAACAGAGACAAAGCAGACCAAAGAGACAGGCCTAATGATGCTAGCTGTAAGGAAGACCCAGAAGTGGGTAGATGGGCACATCCTGAATTAGATGATGTCCTTGTTGTAACTTGTCTCTTTCTACTGAAAGTAAGGAAAGAAAGCATAATTCTCGTCAATCAAGGTTTTGGTTAATTTGACCTGAGTTATTAGAGGTTTCCCATTTATACATATATCTCTGTGTATATATGTATAATATATGTATATATGTATGCCATTATTTCAAGCATTACACAGACATTGACCAATCCCTTTAGGTTCACTAATGTGGAATAAATTTAACAATCCAAGGAATAATCTGCATTTACTTGAATTTTGTAAATGGCCTTCTTTGCATTCTTTCCACCTCTCCAGTTCTGCCCTTTTTTCTGCTTAAGAACCTGTCTAGAAGGCATTCATTCAAACAAAAGAACAGGCTCAGGGTCACCCCTTCCCTTTCCCTGCCAGGTGGCTGCCTGACTCTGGGATCAAAGGGAAGTGTGATCTAAGAGCCAGGTGCTTTATTATCCTTTCTTCTGTCTGCCTCAATTGGCTGTACCCTCATCACCGAAGACCAAAAAAGTTATGCCCAACTTTGTAGCTCTGGTGGAGTAGAAAACTCAGAGATTTGCCCCAGGCCTGGTCTATTTAGATTTCTCTTTGTCAGTGGTTAGAGCCCTAGGCTTGGGTTAGCCAGTTCTGACATTCTCAGTGAAGAATTAAAAAATGAGCTTTGTGGCCGTCAGTGGAACTAAACCATTCTGTGGTTGATTCTGATCAAATCTTGGTGTGTATGGGGTGGGGGGGGGTTACAACACTACAGCAAATATAATTCAGCTGTCTCTTAGGAGCTGAGCTGTGTGCAATATTCAAGAGACTGCTGGGTGGGAGCCAGAATATACCCTCCTGTTTCTTGCCTGGCAGTGTTTAACTCATAGGGGCACAAACATTTCTCTCAACCTCATCACCTGCATTAGACTGTGTGCTCTACTTGGAAGTGGGTGGGAGGGACTCCTCACTAGTATCTGGAACAACTGAGGTGGTACAGGGGTGTCTTCATCTCCCCACACTTCCAGAGGACCCACAATCCAGTCAAGTGAGTCATTATCTAGCAGTGGAAGCCTTTAACCCAGAATTAGCATGACCAGCTGCTAAGTAAGGCCATCGAGTCAGCCTATTCCTGCATGAGCCTCAGCACAGAAGCTAATGTAACTTCTGTGTTCCTCTGCACTCCTAAAATAGTCAGGTATGTTCCAGATGAGTTTGCAGCTGAGAGGTCTTTGCACCCTTCCACTGACAGATGCACAGGGCAGGTGTGATTACATAATAATGTGGACAGCTGCTGCAGCATCTGCATAATTAAGGGTAGTGTAGCATTGGCTGGGTGCTAGGACCTTAGTAGCTACCCAGAGGATTCAGTACTGTGTCTTGGGTTCTTGCAAGAGGACTCTAAGCCCTGCTTCTTCTTGAAAATTACTCCCTAGACACTGATGCCTTGTTGCCTGACTGCATAAACACTCGGGGTTGCAGAGAAGGCAGAGGAGGAGCTTGGGGGAAGACAATATACAACAGCATGCTTTGCTATCAGACAACTTCCAGATCAATTGTTAATATGACTGACTTCTGAGCTTCCGAAGTATAGGGCAGAGACT